AAAAATAGAGACGAATGGAAACGGAATGCAGAAGAAACAGCAAAAAATAGAGATGAATGGAAACAGAATTCGGAAAAATGGGAAAATGAAGCAAAAGAATGTGAAAAACATAGAAAAGAAACAGAAAGCAAAATAAACGAAATCATAACCTCTCATCTAAGCATCAACATTACCGAAATTGAAAACCTATCAACTATTGAAAAATTAGATACCATCCTAAACACAATCAAACAAGAAGTTAAAGAATATCTAAAACTGTTAAAAATGCCATTCCAAACTGGTGATAGTTTAATGTCGATGCTCAAAAAATTAGTAAAAGCTTGTGAAGAAGTTGGAATTGAAACCGGTGTTCAAGAAAATTTATTAAGATCTTTGAAAATTTTGGATCCTGAAACGAAAATAGATGATCCTAAATCTTTTAATGGAAACCCCGGGTATGGAAGTATGGACGACCTAGTAAAAGCATGTTATGAAAAAGGTTGGGTGAAAGATTCTGATCCTGAATTTATTGGTAAAGAATTTGAATCCCATCCTGAACTTAGTTTTGTTAGGAAATTAATGAGATGCCATTATTATATGGTCGGAAAAAGTAACCCGTTTAGTGTGAAAACAATGGCAGAAAATTTGCTTGCGATAACTAACCCCAATCAAGAAAAACTATGGAAATGCTTGAAAATATTAACACCTGAAATTTCTGATTTTAATCCTGAATACAATTATATCGATGACTTGGTGAAAGCATGTTATGACCATGGACCAACCGCAAAAAATGATCCTAATTATAAAGACAAAGGATATAAACATAAGCCAGATATTAAATTTATTAAAAAATTAAATAGATGTTATTTTTATTTGATCAATGAAAATCATGAACTAAAAAGCGTTGAAACCAAAATCGATGATTTAATCACAATAGCCAAACCCAATCAAGAAAAACTATGGAAATGCTTAAAATCATTAGAACCTGAAATTTCTGATTTTAATCCCGAATATGATTATATCGATGACTTGGTGAAAAGGTTTATTTTTTTATATCAAACAAAATGGCTGAAAACATTCGACCAAAAGTTCTTCAAATACCAAGTATTTCTGGTCAAGCCGACCATATACAAAAAATTATTAATGAATTAAATACTGAAAATAAAACCTTAAAATATGAAAACAAAGAATTAAAAAAAAATAACTCTGTTTTAAAAACGTTCAAAGAAGAAAATGAAAAATTAAAAACCCAAGTAAACGATAAAAACAATGATAATACTACGTTAAAACAACAGTTAGAAAACTGTAATAAGGTAAAGATATTTTTTACTACATAGTAAAATAAAAATAAAATTAATCATTTTTTATTACAAGGATCTAAAAAATATCGAACTGCAAACTGAAAAATGTCTAACCGCATTGGGATCGAAATACAACAAAGATACCACTTTAGACCAAAATATGAACAAACTCGTTGAATTATGTGAAGAATTAACTATTTTTAGTAGTAAAAAATAAATCT